ATGGTACTTAACATATATGATGTTAACCATACACCTGAAGAAACTAATATAGCATTCTCTAATGATTCTAGTGGTGTCATTAGAATTAATAATAAGAAGATAACTTGACGATTCTTTAAGTTAACTAACCAAAAACAATTAACCTCACCTTAAGCAATATGTCTAATTTGTCCAGAAGTCTAATCATCATGTTCATATCTTTTGTACCATCAAGTGCAGGATTTGACTGCACAGAAAGTGAGAACCCCATAAGCGCTCTTTCTTAATTCTCCAAGGCTGTATCCACCTGAATAAAAATATCATAAATATATCCAGATATATCAAAAAGATATAGTAATAGACTTAAGTGCATTGCTGCAGGCTATAGTTGGCACTTAAAGGCCTTACCAGGGCCCACTGATAAATCAGGTCGGTGTAAAATATCTTCCTTTCTTCATCCTTGTTCTGAAAAAATAGGTCACAACTAAAAAATGTAGATAACTAACTTTGAAATGCTATTAGCACTTAAGACATGTATCTAGGTCTTTCAAAATGTAAAAATTCAAAATTACACAAAATATCAATTCACAAAGAGAAGCTAGAGTACAAATATGAACTCTTCTAATATGAACAATCCTAAATGATAAATGATAACACATGAAATATTTCAAAGGTTCAATGACAAGACAACTCACAATTATACAACTAAATTTAATTAAATATTAACTAAATTCTAATTTATACAATTAAAATTACTTAAATTGAAAAATGTATATAACTAACCTTGAAATGCTAGGATAGGGGGTGGGGTGGCGGAGGGTGGCGGAACGCAGTGGTGCCGGCGGAACAGTGGCGGAGGGTGGCGGAACGCAGTGGGGCCGACGGAACAGTAACGGGGGAGGGCAGGGAGACTTCTATATGCTTTGTTTTTGAGTGATGAGGGAGATAGGAGTTGATTTTTGGTGGGGATTTGGGGGAATCGCGACAGTGGGGAGGAGAAGAAGAGAGATGGAAGGAGATAGAGAAAAGAGGCGAAATGGAGAAAATCCCGTATGGGCTAGATCTAAATTAAAAAATTTCGACCGACTTCGGTCGGTAAGTTTAAGTGGCCTTTGACCCGTTTGACCACGACCATTCCGACCAAATTCGGTTGGTAATTTAATGTTAAATTAAAAAAAATATTTAATTTAAATATCGACCGAAGTCGATCGGTAATTTAATGTTAAAAAAATTATTTAATTTAAATACCGACAGAAGTCGGTCGGTAATTTAATGTTAGATTTAAAAAAAAATTATTTAATTATAGATACTATATAATATATGTGTGTGTACATATATATATAACAAATATACCGACCACAACCGGCCCGACTTAGTTCTATAAGTTGCAGTGCTAACAACTTAATATAATTGATATATA